TGTTCATTGACTTGTTAACTTTGAATCTTCGTCCACCATAGCTTGAGCAAGCAATCCCATTACCTCTTTCACTTGCTTTGCCCTCAAACGTGTCATCGGACCTCATTCGATAATCAACGGATCCCGTCCCGGGCTTGTCCTCTTCGGGCTCGACTCCTGGATCATATCACTACTCGTGCAGAGTTTGCCATGCGAAGTAATACTCCGCACACCGTCCTGCACTAAGTAAATCTTTACAATTTTTTAAAAATTTTTATAAAGCACGGAAAATATTACCTTTCACACTAGATATAAATCTTTACAATTTTTATGTAAAAAAATCATTCATCCCCACTTAAAAAAACTTTATTCCATACATAAACGAAAATTAGAATTCCTTTCAGGGGGCGCTGCCCCCTCGATCCAAGTTGGGGACGTTGTCCCCGAACCCCCACTGCCCCTCAACCCTCGCGACCTAACTAGATAGATCAATCCCCATTTTGAAGCAGCGGCAAATCATTTGCATAACAACAATAAACAAACAAATAAATTAGGAAAAAATAAATTATTTCAAAACTAATGGTTTTCTGCTAAATTTGAAATTTGTTCAAGGTGGTATTCCGAATGACCCCTGTAAAACTTTGGCAATAAAACTTAACAAAGTTTTATTCTAGAGTTAGTGATTATGCAGACACTTGGATATTTCCCACTAAAGTTTGTTCAGTGGGTTTTAAGCTATTTCAATTCATTAGCTTTTCCCTGGTGATGATGAAGAATTAGACAATATTTTGAAAGTTGCTCAATTTTACCTTACAATCTGATTTCCATTGGTTGTATGACTGCTATTTATGCATTTTCTTTTCTTGTTCTCGCTTTGGTGAAAAGGCAAGGATTTTCACGGTGCCCGTGTTTGTACATCGTATTGCATCAATATTTAAGGCAACGACTTAAATGTTTATTACTATTGCATTTAATTTTTACAATTTCATTTGACATTGTGCTAAAGTTAGTCTTATTATTATTTCTTAGTTGTTTGACTAATAAAATATTTTCTACTTTATTCATATCAATGTTTATTGTCCTAATGGATTCTCTGGAAACATTTGGTAATGAAGAGTCTAATTTTATTAATCTTCAAAGTATTTCCGAAAGCACAAG